GCCAGGCACAGTAGCAGTCTCTTCAGTAAACAACATTAAGATTCAGAAACTTGGCAAATGGCAGGATTATGCAGCTGCATGTCTCCCCAGATTGGAAAATATAAGACTCAGCTTCCTGTATTAGGTGGGGTTCACTGCAGAAATGGACCCAAAGTCAACCAACACACATACCCGGAATTCAGGAGACAGAAAAATTCTAAAAAGAATTGTGGCAAAGATGACTGATTATGCCCCRAATACACATTCTACATTCCAAACTTCTATCCAAGTAACAGAAACGCCCCCCCCCCATTKTATCTAAGCACATGGCCACCAGGAACAAAGACTATATTTTTCTGCCTTCCCCATACCATTAGATATGGACAAATTCTGACCAGAGACATAGTAGGAGGTCTACCCAAGACTCCAGGCAAGTTGTCCTTAAAGAGCAGGGGTGAGCCCTCCTTCTCCCCCACCTCCTTCCTTCTAGCTAGAATGCCCTGAACATATGGAGTTCTAGTAGCCACCTTGGGAATGGACGCCCCACATGGCAGAGCTACAAGAAAAACTTGGTCTCTGCCAGGGGAAAACTATCTGATCACCTCTAAAATTCTTGAAGGTAAGAGAAATTTTAAGCTTATTTTGGAGTCTTCTGTTACCTGCCAAACCTAATCACAGCTAGTTCTGCCAATACTAATTAATGTTTATATAAGCACCTAACATGTGCCAGGCACTATTATAAATGGTTGACATGTATTAACTCAGATAATCTTCACAATAATCCTAAGAAGTTACTATCAACCCCATTTTACAGATGAAGAAACTGGAGCCATAGTAAAGTCATATAATCTTCCTGAGGACCCAAGCCAATAAGTGACAGAGCCAAGATTCTAGCACAGGCCAACTAGACTTACAGTCAGTCTCTAACCATGACGCTGCCCTGCCACTTGATTCCAGAGGTCATCATTCACCACCCAACTACTGACTCAACAAATAGCAACCAAACACTAGGGCACAGGTCACTTGATGATGAACCATATGCACAGTTCCCTGCCCTTGCAAAGCTTCCAGTCTCAGAACAAGCAATGCATCCGTACAGACCTTACAGGATCCAAAGACAACATCAACCATCAGACTCGGGTGAGCACAAGATGCAGGACCCACCCCTCTGCTCCCACCACCCCAGCATCCACTCTGTTCCAAAGGACACATTCCCTGGAGAAAGACTGGCCAGTGAGATCTGAGCCAGAGACCTGAACTAGCACCTATACATCGCAATCCAGGGAAGCTCAAGAATGAAGAACCCAATGACTAGGATCCAGCCCTAAGTGTCCACTTGTTTCCAAAGAAGGGCAATCATTGGAAATCATTCCCAGGGTCTCTGCCACATCCCCCAAAAAAGGGGAAAGAGGAGAGCAGAGAGGAGGGAAGAGATTTCAAGAACTCTGACCACTTGGCAGAACCTTGTCCAACCTGATTCATTAAGACTTGGTGAGGGGGATAACTTCTTTATTGGGGCTTGATTGGATAGAAGGAGTGATGGGGGGAGGGGTTGAGGCAGGGTAGCCAGGCGTGAAAGAGGGTCAGGAAACCTGGTCAAGAGACCACATAAAACCTTGAAGTATTTCACCATGATTCTGACACCATGTTAAGGTAATAACACTAAATATTGGGGGAAGAAAGTTTTGTGTTCAAAAATATTTACACAGAATACACACACAAAAAAAGATATTCATCCAGGAGCAGTGGAGCACATTTGTAATCTCAGCAACTTGGGAGGCTGAGGCAGGAGGATCAGGAGTTCAAAGCCAGCCTCAGCAGATTAGCAAGGYACTTAGTACCTCAGGGGGAACCTTGTCTCTAAATAAAATATAAAAAGGACTAGGGATGTGGCTCAATGGTTAAGCATCCCTGGGTTCAATTCACCCCCCCCAAAAAAAAAAAAACAGAAAGAAAGGAAGGAAGGAAGGAAGGAAGGAAGAAATTCAACTATTGGAGATAAACACAAGTAAACTATGGCAGTAATAACAGCTTAGACTTTACTATCAATGTTCCAGACTGTGTGATAAGTGTTTGTCACAACCCATTTAATCAAGCTTAAGAAATAAAATAATTTGCTACTATATAATGCAAAAAAGAAATGGAGCTCAGATTTGAAACAGCAAAGCCAACAGTCATAAATACTGCCATGTACCATGTTGCTGCACTAGGGGGGGTAGCTCAATTACAGAGCCCTGGYCTAACTTGCACCAGGACCTGGAGTCAATCCCAGCACAAAAAACAAGTAAAATAAAATAAAATAGCAACTGTGAGAATTGCATTACATGGGGAAAGTCCGTGATGCAGCATTCCTCAGAGAAAGACTGCAAAACTGCATACAAAGGATGGTTAAACGCAAGGCCCATGCACACACACAAAATACAGAGGCTGAAGGTATCAGCTGAGGTCTAATCTGGAAAAAGAATCCACACAAATTTTAAACAGAAATATTAACATAAAGATGTGCTGGTTGGTTAAAGCATGGGACTATAAGTACTAGGGATTTCCTGGTAAGAAGAAAAGAGAACTCTATAGAATATAGGAATAGCAGATATAAGAAGTAGCCACTATCTTGAGGGCTGAATAGAGAACCTGAGGGAAAGATTCCTCTCCCCTCTAGCCAGGAGAAGCTGGTGCTGAAGAAGTTGTGTGGATGGACAAGGCACTGAAAGCAAATGCCCTTTTGGAAAACAGGTATATGGTGGGGAAAGTAGAGATTATATCCCTATCAATCAACTCTGGAACCAACATTACACTGCCTGGCACAGACACCCAATTGTTTTCTGTGTATACATCTGGAGTCTCCATCTAGATGGTGTTCTTTTAGAGCAAGAATTATGTTTTATCTTCCTCCTGTAGCCAATCCTACACTATACAAGTGTTCAATAAGTTACTTTTGAATATATGAACCCTATTAAACAAACTGTCTTTGCCCATTCATTTTATTTTAATTATTCTTGTAGTTTATTATTTTATTCTATTTTTCTGCTGTAAAAGCAAAAAAAATGTTTATTATGGAAAATGCAAAAGTAGAACAAAAGAAGAAAAATACCAACCATATTCTTACTATCCAAAATTAATCACTGTTAATACCTCAGTTTATTTCTTTTTTTTTTTAAGATAGAGAGAGAGAGAGAGAGAGAGAGAGAGAGAGAGAGAGAGAGAATTTTTCAATATTTATTTTTTAGTTTTCGGCGGACACAACATCTTTGTTTGTATGTGGTGCTGAGGCTCGAACCCGAACCCAGGGCGCACGCATGCCAGGTGAGCCCGCTACCGCTTGAGCCACATCCCCAGCCCCTCAGTTTATTTCTTATGCACAAAGTTTTTTCTTTCTTAAACATAGATGAATACACATCATATCCCACATGCAATTTTTTTTTTTTTAAGTGCTGGATATGGAACCCAGGGCTCATGTATGCTAGGCAAGCCTCTACCACTGAGCTCACCCTCAGACCCTGACCCATGGAAAGCATTTCTTCAACTTCTTATAAACTCTTAAAGAGTTGATGGTGAATTGCATACACACACACACACACACACACACATTGATGTTGAAAATACCTTAAATGTTGACTGCACAGTATCTTGTTCTGAAAATGTTAAGTGTTTAATCACTCCTTTTTGGAATCTTTTTTTACCAAAAATAATTACATAACAAACATGTGCTTAAAATTTTCTCTGGTAGACTTATTTCCCAAGATGGCTTTCTCTCATGTGAAATTAGGTTAGATGGCCCAAATGCATTTAAGACCACTGATGAAAATTTAAGATCATGGGGCAACTGCTTCTGAACTCAGAAATTAGTAGCTTCCCCTTTTCAACAGGATACAAAGCTGAAACTCCTTCTTTGCCTTCTACTCCTACCATAGGAACACGTGCTCACCTATCACCTAACACAGCCTCCCCCTCCCGGCCCCCTCCTCACAAATCACAACAGGGCCCTAAAAGACTGCAGGGTCCTAAGCTAGTCCCATCGGCCCTTTTGTCCAGAAGCTGCCRGTTGGGAATGGCGTGACTGGAGGCGCCAACTGGAGGTTTCCCTGCGGCCCTCCGCAGAGGATGGGGTGGCACCCTGGACGTCAAACTAGGCGCTGGGGCTTGTCTGGGCGCGGTCCCGTCACGGGTAGACCGGGAAACTTAAAGCAATAAATCTACAGTTTAGAGCTCCTGGGAGGGCACAAGACACCGCCAGTCCTTCCTCATCCCGAAAGACTGGCTCTTGGTCTCCCGCCTGGGCCTCTTCTCTGGCCCCTCTGCAGCCCTAGTTCTTCCCCGCGGTTCACCAGGTCAACCTCCAGGTCTTATCAGGTCTTCCTATTCTCCCCAGTGAAGAGGTCGCCCGAACCATAGGGTCTCCTTCCCCAATCCCTCCTTTCTTTTTCCCTCCCCCATCCAAGCTAGTCCCAGTACACAGTCAGGAGTCACCCTTGAAATTCCGATGACCTCACAAGACCCCCACCATCTCGTCCGCACCTCTTTCACGTATCTGTGCARGGCTGTCCCTCTGTCTTTCCCGCCATGATTGACTTTCTGTCCAGTTTCACCTACCCATCGGTCTGCAGGTCCTCTGACCCTGGTCTTTTTATTTTATACAGTCTGCCTCTCTCGTGACAGCACCTCATTCCCAAGAGGTCTCCTTCATAGCCCCTCCCTCAAGTCTGCCCCTCTGAGCCCCCGCCCACGTCGGTGCTTGTGTCTGCCCGCGAACGTGCTCCTTTGCTCCCAGAGTCTGTTTCTTAGTCCAGTCAGGCCCCTGCTCACCATCCCTCCCCGGAGCTAGAGAGGCCGCGGCCGGTTCCCCTCYCTTGCCCGGCCAACTCTTCCCTCTTCCACTTTCTCTACTTTCAACCCATCCCAGCAGAGTCCAGGAAGTAGCCAGGCACCAAAGACTGACGGTGGTGATGCCCAATGGGGCACGCCAGCGGCAGCGAAGGCCCCGCCCAGAGAGCGAACGCGGCCACTGAACGCGTGGAGGCGGGACTTCCGCTGTCCCGAGGAGGGCGGGGGGAGCGAACTGTTGTGGTGCGGCGCGTTGGGCGGGCGGCGGCCGGGCGGCCCAGGGGCTGCCGCGGGACTCGGGGCGCAGCCGAGCCGCTGAAGGGGTGGGGCGGGCCGGACGCGCCGCGGGGCCCGGGCGCCGCGGGTTCGAGGCCCGGCCCCGCGAGAGGAGGCCGCGCCACCCCAGGGGAGCTGCCGGGCGGCGAGTTTGCCCCGCAACCGAAAGAAGGCGGGGGCCTTCGAAACCCCCTGGCAGCCCGGGCCCAGAGTCCCTAGGGAGCCACCGCGTCCTGGGACGGCCCCCGGGACACCCCTGCTGCAGGGTAGCGATTCTGGGCCCCCGGCCGAAGGCGCCTCCGGGTGACCCCCGGCGGGGCCCTGCAAGCCGCGGGAGCTGACCCTGGGGCCTCAAGCCGGGAGGCAGGGGCTCTCCGGAGACGTGGGCCTGGGGCTGAAGGAGCCGGGCCTCTCGGACGCGGGGCAGGGCAGCGCCTGTCTGGAGACGGACTCCGGGACTCTCGGGTGCGGGGGTCTCGGCKACCTGCCCCGCGGGGAGCGCGGCCGCGGAGTGGCCTACAAGGTGTCCTCCCCTAGAGGGGCCGGCCCGGGGCGGGGAGATGAACGGCTTCAGCACGGAGGAGGACAGCCGCGAAGGGCCCCCCGCCGCCCCCGCCGCCGCCCCGGGCTACGGCCAGAGCTGCTGCCTCATCGAGGACGGCGAGCGCTGCGTCCGGCCCGCGGGCAACGCCTCCTTCAGCAAGAGGGTCCAGAAGAGCATCTCGCAGAAGAAACTCAAGCTGGACATCGACAAGAGCGTGAGTCCACCCGTGTCCGGGCCCCAGCGCCCAGCCGCTCTCCGGCCGCTGCCCGGGGCTGCGGTCCGTACTCCCCAAGCACTCCTTGCTACGGGCCTCGCCGCCCCTTATCTGCAGAATTGAAGAGCTGGACTCACGATCTTAAAGGCCGCTTCAGCGCTGACATGCTCTGTGATTCTGCCCAGATCCGATAGTTTGGGGGAGGGGGGGCTTCAAGGATTCCTTCCTGGGAAGATTTGACAGCGGTTTCTAGCTTGTTATATATATATATATATATATATTTGCTTTGGATGTTAGAGTAACGAGAGGGAGGTTAATTTAGATTGGGGGGGGCAGGAAGGAGAATCGGGGAGATGATAATGAAGGGATCCAGATTTTCAACTTCTCCCACCTTCTAGGAACCCTGTTACTCCTTTAGACTGGGAAAAGGTGACAGTAACTTCCTTGTCTCCCGCGGCCTCTTTTTCTGCAGAGGGTCACTGAGCTTGCTTGCTTTGCTTCGCAGGCACTGTGAGAATGAGTGTTTCTAGGATGTGGCAAAAATGAGGCCAAGGCCAGGTCTTGGGAGATGGCTCTTGCAGTCCAGTTCACTGGAAGGGAGAAAAAAGTCAATTTTTTTAGGGGCAGAATCTTTGGGAATGCGGAGGTGGAGATTTAAATTTGAATAGGATTGCCCGGTGTTTTGTGCCTAATTATAGAAACTTCCTGTGTGATTTCAGCACTTCTAGTTAACAATTCTAAAGATGTGCCTATTGTCAACCAATTAAGAACTTTTTAGTTTGACATCTGTTGCTGCAAGCCTTATTGGCTGCTTCATGATTAGGAATTGGAAACAAATTAAGGGGACATTTAATATTCAGGTAAGCTAAGAGCTTACATAGTTAATTTTTTTTTTTAGAGCCAAATTTCTCCATGGTTGGGGAAGGTCAGAAGTTGAAAGGAAGTCCTCTTTTCCACTTATGATTTTATAGTTGAAACTGAGGCCCAGAGACAGGAAGTGATGGTGCCAAATGTATACAGCACCTGCTTAATTTCCTAAACCCATTATATGATTTCTTTCCAAGCCCCATGCATAAGCATTCATTAAGTCTTTAATAAATAAATCTTCCTTGTCATTTCTTTCAGGCTCTTCCCTTCTACCCTCAATTTTATTTAAAATTAACCATTATAGTGCATTTGCAACTCTTGCATGGCAAGGTGCTATTTTTAAGTGATAGAGGGTGAGCCAAAAACTTTCTTGCTACAAATCTGTATCAGTCAATGAATGAATGGATGGAATTCATCTGGAACAAACAACAGGCTAGACACCATGGTGGTCCCTGATGGTCACATGATGAAGTGAAATGCTTAATTATAGGACAGCAATGACCTACCCACTTGGAAACACTGCCTGCCTTCTGTGTGTGTGGTTAACAGCCTTTACTAGAACAGCTAATAACATTTTCCAGTTCTTTTAAACCTCTGGATGCCTTCACATCTGAATGACTTTGCTGCTGCAATGGAGGCTCCTTTTACCCATTACCCCTCCCAACCCCCATCCCCCCACCGCCTGGAAAACTGGTGGGATTGGGCTATGTCCACCATTTTCACATGCACATCTAGAAGGGAGGCAGCCTAAACCTAGCACTGACATTCCCAAAAGATAGAGAGCCTCTGAAAAGTACTAGGGTTTTGAAGTAGAATCACTCACAATTTGTTTCAAGGTGGTGTTGTGGAGTCATTTCTGAAAGGGATTTGATTTCATTCTCACAGGCTTGGGCAAGAATTCAATTCCAAGTAACTGCTGTGTTAACAAGAATTTTTAGCTGTTACAGAAAGTAAASAAACAAACAAAAAAAAACCAATGACACAGCCAGGCTTGGTGGCATTTGCCTATAATCCTAGCAACTGAAGTTGTATCACAAGTTCAAGGTCAGCCTCCACAACTTAGCTAGACTTAGCTAGATGCTGTCTCAAAAAATAAGAGGACTGAGGATGAAGTTCATTGGTAAAGCACCCCTGGATTCAATCCTCAGTACTGAAAGAAAAGAAAGGAAACAACACTAGGACATTTGCATGGTTAAGGAGAAACAATGACTATCTCATAAAAGGATCTAGCAAACAACCTCTTTAAATAACAGCACCAAAAACCCAATTCAGGCAGTTTAACATTGGCAGTGTTCTGTGATTTTTTTTCATATTTTTATTGGGTGTGATTTAATAAGATATAATGTACTTGCAAGATGTAACATACGTAACCTATTTCTGCTTTTTTCCTGGAGAAAAGTAGAAGTTGAAAATAGTATAAAGGAAAATGTTGAGGTAGGAAAGGACATACATGTACTAGAGGTCAGAAGATCTGTGTGACCTTAGCCAGACTATTTCCTACTCTGGGTGGCTTCAGTTCACCCTTCTACAAAATGAGATTTAATCCAGTGGGGTTGCACTAGTGGTTGCTAAGTTCTCTTCCAGCTAGGATTTCATTATTCTCATGTCAGGACCTGAACTCCTAGCTAGATCTTTAAGAAATTCCTATTCTGCCTGTTCTAGTAAGTCTGTCACTGTGCACTTGAGGAGCAGCTAGATTTCTCAGCATACACGTGCTGGCCTGGCACCAGCTGCCTCTCAGGCACCAGCTGCCTCTCAGGACTGGACAGTGTTCTCTGGTATACTCCCCTGGAGAAGAACATGTCCTGTAGTACATATATCTCTGGGGGGATTCTTTGGAACACTGGCAGGTGCTGAGTGTGAAAGCCCTTTGACAAAGGGAAATCTGGCAAAGCTATCCCAGTTTGTAACTCTGTGAGTGGTGGCTTTTACTGGCCTAAGCTGCTTTTAGATGTAGGGGACTGCCAATATTCATGCATCAGCATTTATTGAGTGCCTGCTGTCTGTAAGACACCATTACAGTATAAACTTAAAATTATTCATGACTCACTAATCCAACCACATGAAAGTGATAATTCATCTGAATAAACAGTTTTTATTATTTTCTTCATAAAAAGACCTGAATTAATTGATGCTGACTTCCTGTCAGCTTACTTTTATCTTTAGGGATTTAAGGAATAAACTCAAATTTAGAAGTCTCTCCAGAACATTTGTGCAACATCTGTTTCAATATCAACAACCCCAAGTCATTTACACAGGCATTCAGTTTCTGTAAGGTTCTGAATGGTTCCTACAGGCAACCCTTATATTCTTAAGTAAAAACATATTCTTCACATCTTAGCTGCTGTTGGCACCTTTGCTTACTAATATGCCTCCAACCTATCTTAGAAAATAAGCACTAATATCCATCTTATTTTATGTGGTTCCACTTTGTGAGAATTTCCGCATTTCTTTCTACTTCTCTTTGTGGATCAGATGTGAAGTGTTGCAAGAATACACCAATACATGGAAATAAAGTTTTTCAGAATTATCGTATAGTAGTAACCACTGTAAATGTAAAATAGGATGTACTGTCTACCATTATCACAGTCTCAGCTTCCCTCCTCCCCAGGGCAACTCCGGCCTACTAACTCCTATATAATTCCTACAGGTCTTCTGAAAATGTCCCAAAACTCCCTGCTTCAAAAAACCTTAAAGGACTCTGTCTAGTCTGAAGGAACATCTCAACAGTCTTTATGTCCCCAACCTGGAATCTCTCCTTATACTCCTGTGTGGGCAGTCACTGCCACCCAGGCTGACTATTTACGCTGGGCCTCCTCACTATAACCGCTCTGTTAGCTACACTGGGACCTCTCAGGTTTCTCTTTGCTCACCATGTGGAATACTTCCTGTCTGCTTCCAAGTCCTTCCTTCTAACTGGGGGCCTCCATCCTGACTATCTCAGCTATAGGGATCTCTTCCTGTGCTGAATCCGTGCCATTTATTGTCTTCACCATTCAGTGGAGACTTGATTTGTAATATGCTGTGTGGTGTTAGCGTTCTCTTTGTGAGTGTGTGTGTGTGTGTGTGTGTGTGTGTGTGTGTTTACCCCCAGTGCTGGGAATCAAACCCAAGGCCTTGCACATGGTAGACAAGTGCTCTACCACTTAGCCCTCTTGTGTGGATCTTGTTCTACAACTCTAGAGTCAGCTTTGGAAACTATGGCCTACATCTCATTCTTCTCTCTCTCCAGTGCCTTAAAAAGAAAAGCCCCATAATTTGACAGATCTCTGTTGCTGTTTCCATGGAATTGGCAACACTGACTTTTATTTCCTTCCCATCAGGTAAGGCACCTATACATCTGTGATTTCCATAAAAATTTCATCCAAAGTGTTCGAAACAAAAGGAAGAGGAAGACAAGTGACGATGGTGGAGATTCTCCTGAGCACGACACTGACATTCCTGAGGTAAAGGCCAAAAAAATCAGCCAGAGAGAGCTGGAAGAACAGATTCTAATCTGATCCTTCCCTCTGGCCTGGTCTTCTTTTTGTGCTTAGAAGTAATTTTAGTCCCCTTTGTTTTTGCTGTGCTTTATTTGAAAAGTGAGCCATAGAATTATAGTAACACTGAACCTGAGAGCTGAAAGCTTGGAAATTGACTGGTCTGGCTGCCCCATCATTTTCCAGACAGGCACAGAGACCTGAGGTCTTATACATTGTTTGGAGACTCTGGTCTAGTCCTCTTTCCAATGACCATACTGCCTTTCTTCAAGAAACCCCTACTTGAATACAGCCACAATGTCAAATTTTTTCCAACCCTGTTTCTGCCTTAGAGACTTGAATGTGTGTGATCTGGGGGCAGTCTCTTCCCATCTGTTCTCTGGTCTGCAAAATGAACATGGGAGTTGTCAGTTCACACCAGCTGTGTCATGTCCTGATTCCATGACTGCTGATCAAGGCTTGTCTCAAGGATCCATTTCAAAGTCAGCTGCGCTGTTTCTCAATACTGGTACTACTGACATTTCCAGCCAGATAATTCTTTGCTGTGGGGGCTGGTCCCGTGTGTTGTAGGATGTTTAGCAGCATCCCTGGCCTCTACCCTTTAATGCCTGTCACACCATCCCCTGAGTCATGACAATCAAAAAGTGTCTCCAGACATTGCCACATGTCCTTTGGGGGGTCCTGAGTTAAGGACCACTGTGATGGACCATGAGACCAAGGCCTCTCCACCAGAAGGCTGCCTTTCCTTAGGGTGCTGTGGTATTAATGAGGCTCCTGGAAGGAACTGGATTTTCTTTCTACCTAAATTGTTTTCACTTAAGACTCAGCAAAAGAAGAACCGTTTATAGTGTACATTGAATATTTGACGCATGAATATTTCATAAGGCAACCGCCTGTTAGCACTCAGAGTGAAAATGACTGTGTAGGAATAGAAAGAGTAGGCGGGCCTTTGTCTGCAGATGTGGAAGAAACCTTGGAAAATCAAGCCCTTCCTTTGGCCCCTTCCCCTGTCCCCTTTCCAACATTAGTTTACAGTATTTGTTGCCTTTAGCATTATTATTATTTTATAAACATGTAATTGGTTTCTGAACGGTTTTCACAAAAAAAAAAAAAAAAAGGTTTTGAGGAATGTTTTGAAATGAATGAAGGACTTTGGTCCCTCATATTGATCATTCATTTTGTTTTTAAGTGCTCTCCACCTGCCTGAAGCAAGAACATCTCTTTTAGAGGCAGGTAAAGGCAGCCCAACTTTCTGGGCCTTCAATGTTTCCTGACTGTGCAGCTTTCCTCTCTTCCTGTGTTAGAAAAAACAACTGGGGGGGGCCCTTCCCCTCTGTTTTCCAGTCATCTGCAGAGACCCTGACCCTAACCTGCTGATTTGTCCATCCACTACAGTAGCTTTTGGTCTTTCCTTGGAGGATTTTTAAGAATTCTAATACCTGAAGGCTCAGCCTAGGAAAGAACTATTTCAAAGTTACAGTATTTCTCACTGTCCTTCGTGCCCCCTCTATCCAGTCTGCCACCTAGTTCTGGCATGTCTTCTCCATGATGTCTCTCCAGTTTTTGCCTTTTACTCCATTCTTAGTGTCCCCCTCTAGCATCACTTCCCTTCAAAGCTTGACTTTATCATCTCACTAATGAATCATTGCTATAGCACCTCCCTCTGACTCCCTCACCCCCTAGTCAGCCTTCCCGGCAAAACTCTACCAACTCCATCTTCCTGAAACACCACCCTCTGCCACCTATGATAGCTCCTCTGCTTCTCAAGACATGTTATACCTTTCACACCCACTGTGGTGGCCCCTTAGCCCATCCCTTTACATTAAGGCTGTGTGTGCCCATGATCTTCCATATTCCTTACTCCAATCCTCACTGCCTTTCTAGACCCTGTCCCTTCTTAGCTTAAGCTTCAACTCCTCTCCTCCTCCAGCCTCCTAGGATCAGCCCACCCAGCCGAACTCTTTTCCACTGTTTTGTTCCCCTTGCCAGTCGCTAGTCCTCAATGAACAATTTCTAAGAATTCTTTTGTGGCCTTCCCTATCCTCACCCCCACCTAGGGTATGCTGGGCACATTGTGGGCTCTTGGTGAATCCTGACTGGTCAGGTGATGGATAATGTGTTTCTCCTCTTCTGTCTAGGTCGATCTGTTCCAGCTGCAGGTGAATACTCTACGACGTTATAAACGACACTACAAGTTGCAGACGAGACCAGGCTTCAATAAGGCCCAGTTAGCAGAAGTAGGTAGACAAAATTTGGATAGAGAAAAGAGAGAACTATAATTGTGCCACTGGTGTAACCGTGATTCTTCCCTACAGCAGATGTGGTTCAGTGGTTAAGCACCCCTGGGTTCAATCTCAGATACTAAAAAAGAAAACACACCACACACACACACACACACACACACACACACACACACACAATAAGCAAGGCACACAACAGCATACACCTGTAACCACAGCTGGGCAACAGGCAGAAATAGGGGGAACTCAAGTTCAAGTCCAGCCTGAGCAACTTAGCTAGACCCTGTCTCAAAATAAAAGCACTGAGGACAAAAAAAATCTCACAGAAGTTGGTAGCAGAATCTCAGGACTCCTGGCTCTTAAGTATTCTTTTTGTTTGTTTGTTTGTTTGTTTGCTTGCTTGTTTGAATCTTTTTTGCAAGATACTTTATAGATATGGTCCTTTATGCACATCAGAACAGGTTAATCATCATCAAAACCTTTGTTAATAAAAAATATAGGAGCTATTTTTTCATTTTTTTCCTCTTGATTTCTTCTTTTCTTGGTGTTAGTAATGGAAGTATTTATTATGATGAATGGCATCCCAAAAAAGTTTTCTCCTATCCTGAGTTCTTAACAGTTTGGAAAGGGGAAAATTCTCCTTTGGCATTTTGTGTAGTCTCCCATCCTCCCATCCACCCCACCCCACCCCCTCCCCCACCTCAAGACAGGTTCTCACTATGTTGCCCAGGCTGGCCTAGAGAATTCCAGGGCTCAGTGATCCTCTTGCCTCAGCCTCTGCAGTGTATGGTTCTATAGGCATGTGCCCCCACACTCAACTTTCTCATCCCTCTTAATGTGTTTTCTGCCTATTATTGTAGAAATTTAGACAATGGAAAAAATAAATAAATGAAGTTCTACCATTCCAAGATAACCACTCTTCATTTCTAGTTCTCTCTTTTTATCTGTCCCAATCACCTCTATCCATCCATTCAGAGATTTCCTAAGACTCCACCCTACTTGTTTTGAGTCTTCCTTTAGAGGTTTCTTGCTGATCTATGGTAGTTTTCTTAAATCTTTCCTTCACTAGTGTCCAGATTACACATAGGAGCATACAGGCCTTTCCTACTTTAAAATGACATTTACCCATTTGCTAGTATTCACCCCTGGTGGAAAGGATRGGATGAGGTGGGGCAAGAGGAGATCTGCGGTCTCATGTCTTACACAATAAGCAAAGTGCTGGGAATATATGGTAAATTATGTGTCTTCCTTCAACTCCATTTTTCCTATTCAGGTCCTTATATTGTTTAGGGTAGTTCTTGGTTCAGATGGTTACATCTTTTTCAATTGACTGTTCATTTGACACAATTCTAAAAAGACACTTTTCTGCCTACTTTAAGGACCTGAGTAAGGTTTGGTAGCAGCTGGCCAACCAGAGCAATCCTGAACTGCCAGGATGGATGGTTGGCTGCCACTGAAATAGACCTGTGCCTTGGTAATATTGTAAGTTAAAGTGCTGCTTTTGGAAGCAAACCACCTAACCCCTGGGGCAAAAGAGCATCCTGAGTTCTGCAGTACATAGCAAGTCCTGCAATAGTCAGAATTCCCTCCTAGGGCTGGAAGCAACTCCTGTTCTCTCTTTTGCATAGTCAAGAACATGTGGCCCTGATTTATACATGGTTTAAGGGACTTTGGTTTTTTCCCCTGTGTAGACTGTCAGCCGACACTTCAGGAACATACCTGTGAATGAAAAAGAGACCCTCGCCTACTTCATCTACATGGTGAAGAGTAACAAAAGCAGACTGGACCAGAAATCAGAAGGCGGCAAGCTTGAGTGAGGAGGAAGCACACCTTAAAGAAATGAAGTATAATGCTCAATGCACAGGTGATATCTGTGACCATTAAGCCCATAAAGACTGTTAAATATTATTGTAAATAAAAAAGTTTGAATGATGAATACTGTAAATCTTTTTGGTCAGGAGGATTATATTCTCATGATTCGGCATGTGTATAGAAAGACTTTGTTTTAAGATAACTACTGGACTGAAAAAAAACAGGTTCATAAAAAGAATTTAAAACCGTGTATTGCAGCATTCAACAAAGCATTAAGTCGATCCTACTGGAAATATGGAATAAGAAATATTTTGGTATTCACCTTGTATGCCAGGCTGCCACATGCAAGACATGGCCCTGGAACAGCAGCGAAGAGCAATTGATGATGGAGGTGTGGGAGCAGACCTGTTTGGACTTGCACACCGCCTACTGAGGACATAGACGTCCTGCTCTGTTGCAAGCTCTGATTAGCACATCAGTTTGACACTGGTCCCTCTCACTTGCCCTGTGCCTTGTACACAGTGAGCACTCCATCAGTATTTGTTAGCTAATTGAGCAGTCACAACAGCACCAGTCCTGTAACATCTGCTTCCATCCTCTCATTGAGACCTCTGCCATTTCTGTTGCTCGCTGCTCAACTGCTAGGTGTGGAAGAAGTCCTGGTGCATCAGCAGGGAGGTTTCAGGAGAGTTGCATGTTTTATTTGTCCGGGTTCCAGAAACAATACGAAGACCCTCACGGGAGGGTCCTTTGCATGCCTCTCTACGCTTTACTCTTTGGGGCAAAGTCATGTATTGTGATTTCAGCCATGCTCCTCCTGGGTACTAAGTGCTTTTTAACAAACAGAAATTTAGTGATTTGGGGCTAATGTTTTGAGAAGTATTCATCCTTAGTTCACAGCCACCAGGAAATCTGCCAAGGACCATGTGATTCCTGTTCGGGAGTCCAGCTGTGGGAAAGCCTGTCTGGCTGCCTTGACTCCCTGGGCTCTGCTAGGCAGCAAATCATGAGTTTGAGCAAAAAAGGACGGTTCCACTTGATCCTCAGTTTTGCAAGAAATATGCCTTCCTTTTAGGGAGAAAGATCAGTAAAATAATTTTTCTAAATATTTCAATTTCAATTAACCTGATTTTTTTGTTGCTGTTCAAATTCTTCTATCCAATTATATCAGAGCCAAAGTATCCTGTGAAAGCAAAGATTTATATTCAGAAGTATACTTATGCAAAATTCTCTTATAGCGTCTTGGTGGGACAGAGAATGTAGATCAGAAAATGGGAGAAAAAGATAAGAAAATTGGATTCTAATTTCTAACCATCTTGACATATGTTATAGTCAAAGGTATGATTTTTTCCTTCTTGGTTGGTTTCAATTTAAGCCTTAAATGATAAGAGGAGCAATGGACAGCCTGGCAGAGTTTTAGTGTCTTATCTGAGCTTAATCTGAGTACTGTCTCAGAGAAGTCAAAACTAAACCCACACTGAGCAGGTGGTGGAATGTCTGGAGGTCTCAGTTCCGTGGAACAGAGTACTGTGGTTTCTATGGAATGCAAACAAGGCCACCGCTGTCACTAAAATGCAGTATGTTCGTTGCCCCATAGCTTTCGCCAGTGTTCAAAATGCATGTCCAGCAGATTGCAGCTTTTCAAAATATGTGTAAATGAATGTACATAGAATATACTCTGGGCAATGAGGGGGCCTATTTTGATACGTCTCCTGGCTGTGGAGGGTATAGCAAGGTGCTCTGAGTGTTTCAGTCATTCTAATTCAGTATGTATCTAGGGACTATCCCTCCTTCATAGCTGACGGATGTTGGCATAGCTATCGAAAAGGCTCAGCAGGAGCTGGAGTTTGGGAGCAGATGGGCCTGCAGGAAAAGGCATCATTAACCTGATCCATAGACATGTCCATGTCTTAATGAGGAAGAAAGTGGATCTTTCTGATATGTGAACCAAAATTGTGGGCATTGTAGGTCATGTCACTGTTTCTTTAATAGCAAATCTGTTTTCCCAGCTGCGAGCAGTACATTTCTGGATAAGGTATGGTGTTGGGGGCCGTTCAGCTGCATCTGTAAGAACGCTGTTGTTCCAAAGTGAAGCCTGGGAAGCTTTTCACCTTGAGCCAGCCGCTGCGCACACATGGTCACGTGTTGTCTTTCCTCTAAAGTGGCTGCTATAGGAAAGTAGAAATTGTGGGTATCTTTTCAACCTTTCAAAACAGGTGAGAGAAAAACAAAGTTATTTGAACTTGGGTTTTTCTCACGTCCAGAAGTCTGTTCTTTCATCACGCTACTAAACCACTTGCCTTAGCCTCTTCTGCAGTTCTTGATGGCTTTATCCATGGGTAGAAGACTTCTGCCTGTGAGAAATGGCCAGGCCCTCCAAAGCCACTAGGTCTGGCTCTAGGGAGTGGTGGGTTTGGGGAAAGCAGTGTTCATCCTGGCTGCCTGCATTTCTATGCCACTGTCAAGGACACTTCCCTCCACCTGTGACGTTGCAGCATTGCCTTCTCTCTTCTTGGTGCTCCTGGGCAAAACTGGAATTTCAGATCCAGAACTGGTATTGTCTTCTTAAAGAGTACAGTTACTGCCTCAGTTTCAGCCTGGTATGATTGTTTCATGTGCCCTGAAGGTTGTCACATGCAAATGTCAATATCCTACCATTCATGTTTCATTTTAAGGTTTAAAAAAAAAAACTTAGGTTGACAGTGGTATATGAAGAAGATCATAACTGAATCTCACAAAAGATTGAAAGCCAAAGGATTCAGGACTACTGTTGTAAACAAGGAGGGATTTCACTGTGTGTTACAGCTGCCGAGCGTTAGATGTTCCAGTTGTAGTTAAATAGTCACTGCTAGCCTTTTGGAGAGCAGATTTTAATAATGTTTGTGATGGAATGTTGCATCTAACCTTGGCATTTGAGCTGTTTATTTTGTGGGAAATACTTTGTTAATATCCACAGAGCAACTGCCTGGTGGAAGGCGGAGGAGGGGAAGAAGCTTTCTCTGGAAGCCTTGCATACTGAAGTAGGCTGTCCCACAGGTGGATCCCAGAGAATTTGCTTCATGGAAATCATCTGAAGACTCAATTGCCACAATGACAAGATCCAAAGGTTGGGAAAGGGTATTTAAGTGATCCAGTCCAGTCTCCCGTAGGTGCTGACATTCTGCCTCCAACTGTCCCACCAAGGGAGCAGTCTGGGCTTACACACCTCTGAGGACAGAGAACTCACTACCTCCTGGGGAAGCCTGTTCTACCTTTGTAAACCTCTGGCTTTTCTATGTTCTCTGTAATTCTCATCTTAGTCCCTGCCCCATGGGGGCCACATGGAAAGTTTCTCATATTGGCAAGGACCTCATTTCTGGCATTGGCCCACAGCATTGCCTTTGTCATCTAAAAAGGAGCAGCAAGGACACAGCTGTTTTAGTGTCCTGCCTGTCCTTTCCCTGAGTTTAGTCCACTTAGCTCCTTGTTGGGGAACCTTGAGGAAGCCCCACCAGCCTGGTTATGCTCACTTGTTCTTGCCAGAGTGGATGAAGTGGGAGTGGGTGTTACCAGCCTGCTAAAAAATAACCTCAGACGGCTGAGGCCTGAGTTCTGTGCTTGTCCCATAAAAACTAATGCTCTCAACATCATTTAGGAAAACCTTCAACTAGAAGATTATTAAATAATATCGTTGCTTTGCACAGAGTTTAAAGGTTCCATGGTATCTGAGGGCTGTGGCTTCAGATTCCTGTAAAGACTTCACATTTAGTGAAAACAAAGCTTGTTGGGGGAGGAGGGCTAGTGTCTCAGTGTCAGAAGTGACAGATCTTCAAGCTGCAAAGTCCATCAAGTTTGCTGTTGTCCCATCATCCATCTTTAGAGAATGGGGAACTAAAGTTGCAAGATGTGCCTGAGGTTACATGGGACCTCACACATGGCATTATGGGAACTAGCCTTGGGTCCTCTTGACCTGTCCAGCACTCTTCCCCACTCATTTGCAGTACAACTCTAGTGCAGTCTCAGCTAAGCTGCCTTCAGATTCTTGAGAACTTGTAACAGAGCAGTCCCCAGCAACCTGACTCTCAGGGACTGACCTGACCTGTGGAACTCAAGGTTGAGTGAAATGATTAGGCAGTTTGAATTTTGCAAAATGCATGTAAGGGAGAAGAGTTCTTGCCTGTAATTTCAGGGTGTAAAGCCCTAGTGGGAGATGTAGTATTGTCCTAAAATCCAGATTCTTGTGAAGTGGACTTATTCTGTGGTCTCTTGGTTGGACTTCTGCCTTTAAGGTTCTATGGTTCCACTAGCCCTGGCTCCAGGTCTATTCCCAGGAGCTAGACAGTTGATCTGAAGGGCAAAGGAGCTCAAGATCATGCCCAGGAAGCGTGGTGCTTTAGGGGTGCCTTTTTATTCCAAGTCTGTGGGTAGGAAGGGTTATGTTGGTCTGGTGTTTGAGGTGGAATGCAGCCTGCGGCAAGCGGGACCTTTTCTTGAGGCAGAAACCTCTAACTCAGTTTTTTCATCTAGCTTTCACCTCACGTCCTTCAGTTGTTCTCACTTAATCAACACATTTGCCAACGACAGAGGGTTGTACAGAATCCCTGTTTTTACCCCTCTATTGTCTGCTATGCCCATCGGAGTGTATTTTGGGGTATGGGGTTTGCGGGGGGTGGGGGTTGTCCATTTTGTAATTGCCTTATTGAAAAGTAAGTGCCCTTCCATTCCAGGCCTCCTCATATTGTACTCATTTCCTGCCAAATTTGGGGGATCATTTGTATTTTAATTTTGTAATCTATGGCTCTGTACTGTTGAAAGGCTCTCAATTCTGTAGAGTCTCCTTGGTATGTATGTGACTTTTCATGTTGCAATATCACACAGACTGGGATGGCCCGACTTTCGCTCTTAATAAATGATCTGAATATGTAAGAGACACAGTCTGTTGTTCCTATTGAATTTCTGCGGAGAATTGAGATGTTTTCAGTTTCAGGCTGGGCCCCTGGCTACGTATGACCGTGGTTAATAATAGTAGCCTTGCCTCTCAGTCCTGAGCACCAGCACCCACTATGCCCTGCAGTCTTGGTGTGCACCAAATAAGATCAGATCACAGAATTTTGGGCCCAAGTTCAACTGCTGCTGTTCCTCTCTCACTGGGAGGGTGACCAGCTGGGATCCAGTAGCCTGAGTCTGGGAACTCAACTTCCATACAGTGTACCAGACAGATATCCTCAGCACAGAGTTCACTGTCTGTGTCTGCAGTTATTCATCTGTAAGGTGGAGGTTACAAATTGAAATGCCTGCAGAAGGTGGACTTTGAACTAGAAAACTCAGATCCCTTCTAAGGGCAGTCACTGCTCAGCTCCTGCCTGTCACTGCCATGTAGGAAATCCAGAGCTTCATGTAAATATCCTGGTGTCTAAAGTCTCAAAAACTTTGTATGGACCGGCATTTCTTCACGGCTCATAGAACCTTGCCATTTAAAGTTGACCTCATACTTGGTAGAAATGCAGGTTCTCTGCCCACTCTCCTGCGGGCTATCTACTGAATCAATCTGTTGACAAAGTCTCCAGGCAAGTTGAGTGACATGCATTTTACAGTTTAAGAAAGCTGAGTTCCATGACAGCTTTCCTAGTGCAGGTCCCTGAGTCCTAGCAAGCCTCTCACTGCTGGTAAGGAAGAAAGGCAAGCCTCAGGCACAGGTGCCACTTAGTGACATCTCTGTCTTCAGAATGAAAAGGAAAAAATAAATACTCATCATGTGAGTTAAGTAGAATACATCCTACCTGTAAAATGTTAAGCTTCATGGAAATTTTGTAAAATATACTCCTCCCCTCCCCATGCCCGCCCTCCCCATCCCACTCCCTGTAAACAGCACATGGAGAGGACTCTTCAGAGACATTTTGGGAGCAGGGCAGGTAGGCAGACCTGATCTCTCCAGAGCTCACAGGATTCATAATAGATTGTTACGGAAGGATGCCATCATTTACAGGGTCCCTGAGTTGATTTCCTGTAGAAAACAAAGGAAGTTCTGATTTTCAGTCCATGTTAGACTATTGGAAGTTRTTTCGACTTTTCTATCTGCTGCCCTCCAACCCCTCACACATTGAACTGAAAAGAGGTGCTTTGTCCCAAAGTTCCCCCCCCACTGGATGGCCCCCACTGGAATGAAAGAATCCACAAACATCACATTTAATGAACAGATGAACTCTCATTTTTATTTATTCTTTTATTTTTTTGGAAGTACTGATGATTGAACCCAGGCCCTTGAACATGCTAGGCAACTACCACTGAGCCACATTTCCCATCTTGAATCCACATCTTACTGTACCAAGAGAAGTTTCACTTGAAGGAAATACACCTTCCCCCTGCCCCCCCCCCACCAAAAAAAAAAAACAGCCTTCGAATAATGATCAGATTATCTGAGGTCCAGAGTTTTTTTTAAAGCATGGCGGTATCCACTCTCCAGCTCCATCAGAATCCCCCAACAATGCTTTCAATGCTAACTCCTGGGCCCCAATCCCACCTCCTTAGAATGGGAGTTCCCAGTGAGATCCACTAAATGAGAATCCTTTCAAGTGGGTCTCACAGAACTGTCTTACAAAATCTCCTGGAAATTTATTTGTATGTCCACATTCAGGAACCACTGAATCTAACCCCCTAAGACTCAGGTCAGGAAAATAGGCTGTATTCCCTATTAGCTTAGATGTGTCAAACAGTGGCATGCATATCCCCAAAAGACCAATCATTCCAATAGATGGCCATCAATCTAGATAAATCCATACTTACATATTTAACCCACAGTCCTAGCACAATGCCTGGCATGGAGGAGAACACTGAGTGTCTGGGATTGAATCTGCCATTTACTAAACAGTTCTATTATTATTATTAATTTTGTTTTGGTTGTTTTTGTTTTTAGTTTACAAGGCTCTTCCACATCCAGAAGTAATGAAGGCTATCAAGTACCGAGTACTTGCCAAACAATGTGCTAATAGTTTTATGTGCATTAATTCACTTACTCTCACTACAATCATATAAAGTAGCAAACTGTTATTAACTCCAATTTATAGAGGTGCAAATACAGACTTAGAGAAGTTGAGGAACTTGCCCAAGAAACATGAGAGCAAGCCACTTCTGGGATTGACTCCAAGGCTCTCTGGCCCTAGGGACATTGTTGTCAAGCCCATGTCAAAGAACTCAGCGTGCCAAGCTTTGAGGTAGTGCAGCCGCAAGTTACCCTGGTCCCCTCTACAGGATTTACTAAATTTTAATGAGGGATTCTGAGAAGTCACTAAGACTCTAGTTAGGAAATTTAATAGGGTTTAATGGAGGTTAATAAGGTACATCCAACCTTCCAGCCAGGTTTTAACCCACCAAAGCTGAACAGAGATTAACAAGCGCAGGAGGTGCAAAGGCACCTGCGTGATTTAACGGGGTTAATGAAACTGTCAGAGGTTGGTGAGGGACAGCATGCAGTTCACAAGTGATCTGCTTGAGGTCAACGGACAGTAATTAAACAGCTGAAGCCTGCCCTGGTCTGTCCTGGGCACCATGGGGGAGCAAATAAGAAAAGGCCACAACCAACATGGTTAGTCCTGGTTGGTGGGCTGGGGGGTGAGTTTTCCTTTCTCCCCTGTGCTCTCTGGGTGTCATCTAAACCGTTTATATTGGGCATGAACCCTTCCCACCATAACTAAAGTAGCAAATCCCTTGCTTACAAAAGTTAAGCTTCACATGGGGGAAAGGTGTAGAGAATAGTAAGAGAGGTGAAAGTAACAACAATACAGACTTAAACTTAAGCATGGTAAAGGGGCTGTCACCTATTTACCTCCATGGGTTCTCGTCACATGCTATGATATACAAAGGTCACACTGGCAGGAGGGAAGCCAAAACAAATATTCATCTCCTTCTCTCAAATTGCTACTTTTTTTCTTTTTATCAAGCACCTACCATGTGACAGGTCCAATGTTAAGCACATTGCATGCCTTAACGACCCTACCACTATTATTATCCGTATTTCACAGATGAAGAAATAGAAATTTAGAAAAGTGAAATGGCTGGCCCAGGGTCACCAGAAAGTAGTGTGGATGGGAATCAAACACAGGTCCCAGAGTTCATTGTGCCATACTGCCTACTAATTGGGCAAGATACTATTTCCCAGGAGCATTATTTAGATCAGGGAAGAACTGGAAATGGCCTATCAAATAATAGGAGACTGGTTGTAAAAGTATTATGTTTATCATCATTGTAAAATAAGATTTAATGACAGAAAGACATCCATATCAGTTTAGAAATACTATATTATGTTTTCCTATCTATACTACCTATGTGTACACACTATACGTAATACGTATGTGTATGTGTATACATATATGTATGTATGCAGATGTGTCTATAAATGCAAAT